AACTTTTGAAATTGGGCTGAAAATAATTTTTAGAAGTTGAAGTTGTGTTTAGATGTACATTTACTTGAATAAAAGTTAAAATTTTGTGAGAGAAAGATGTCAATAGTTTTTTTTTTTTGGTTGCTTATTTAAAAAATAATAACAAAAATATTATTTGTTCATAAAAATTTGATCAACTTTTGGAAGAAAAAATCAAGTTCCAAGGGTTAATTTTTTTTTTTTTTGGCATCAAATTTTTATGAACAAATAATATTTGTTTTTATTTTGAAATAAGCAACCAAAAAAAAAAAACTATTCGCATTATCCTTCAAATTCTGTATCCACCAAGTAAAGCATTTTCAGAAAAACAAAATAAAAACCAAAACGAAGTCACAATGCGCAATTTCGCTTCTCATCTTCTTCTCCCCCACCCACCCTACCATTTCACCCTACCATGCCCCGTCGGAAAAATTCTGAGACAAATAGATCAACATCCGTAGCTTTTCGACACCCTAAAACGGACCCGAATCGTTATCGGGGCGTCCGTAAACGGCCGTGGGGCCGGTTCGCAGCCGAGATACGAGACCCGATAAAAAAAGCTCGGGTCTGGCTTGGCACCTTTGACACGGCGGAGGATGCTGCACGCGCTTACGATGATGCCGCACGCGCCTTCCATGGACCCAAAGCGAAAACCAATTTTTCAGTTTTGCCTCCGTATGGGCAGAACCAGTTTGAAAATTTTAACTGGCCGGCTTCCAGTAGCCTGAGCAGTACGGTGGAGTCATCCAGCGGGGCGCGTGATTTGCACTCGCGGGTTGAAATTACTCGCCGGATTACTCCGCCGGCGGTGGAGTGTTACAGTTGTTGCGATTCGTCATCGACTGTGGTGGATGATAATATTGACGTCGATTCGTCGTCGTTTTGTAAACAGCCTCTGCCGTTTGATTTGAACTTGCTCCCTCCGTCTGATGACGTTGATGATGTCCATGTTACCCCTTGTATTTTTAGTTATGTTAATTAATTTGATTATGATGAAAAAAAAAACTCTTTTTTCTATGTTATTTATCCATGTGGTGGATGTTGAGAAATTAATAACCAAATGGGTTTTTAAATTATGCATAGATTAATTTACTGAGTCATGATGTTATCTAAATCAGAAAAGAATGTATCTTTACTATAGAACGTTGGATCTGATGCTGAGTTTTTTTTTATAATTATTATTGTTTTTGATTTATAAGATTTACCTTTTTTTGTATTATGAAACTGAATTGGTAAAATGTTCTTCCTTATGAAATTGGAACATTTTTTTTGTCTCTGTGCGTTTTCTTCTGGTAAAATGGGTCTGAATACAGCATATTGGACAAGATGATTTATATGAACTAACTTGGATGGAGGCGTAGTTGATTGATTGATTGCTTCTGTTTTTTGAGAAATATTCTTGTAGTACTATGACTTCGTGCAGGATAATCGGATGAGCACGCGTTGGCAGCAATGGTGATAAATGAGGAGGATATATGCTGTCGGGAAAGAAGATCGAAGGAGCGGAGGCATCTCAAAGATTTAGCAGCCAAGTGAGTAGCTGCATTTGACTTTATAACTTGTTTCCTGCGTTTTACTATTATGAGTAGACGGACTGGTCCTTTATACTTATAAATTAAGTACTAGTAAATAGAGTGATCACCTTTCCTTAGAAACTTGGAATTTAGAGAGGCAACAAGTATTGTTGCCAAGAAACAAATTATTGTGAATTGAAGTTGAGAAATTACTAGGTGAAGAACCAATAGAGTGACGGAAACATAAAGAAGTCATCACCAAGGAGTGTGATGGGATGTATGCCCTCGGATTTGAGCCGGGTATAGAGAAACTCTTGGCAGGGAGAGTGCTTCCACCTTTAGTGGGCCCTATGCAGCGAAAATGTGGATTAGTCGGACCACTTGGTTTCAGATACCGGATGGTTAAACTGAAAAAATAAAAAGAAACCTAAAGAAGTCTAGGGGAATGACAATTGTTCTAGCTCTACAATTTTGCTGTTTAAGACTTAGTATGTCGTGGTTTGTACCGCATTTTATCCATTGGTGGCGAATGGTTGGCTTGTGACAGAGTGACTTGAATGTAATGGCTGGCTCCTTTGCATTTGTAGCCCTGACTGATTATTAGTAATAGTGGAATGTGGTAAATCATCCCCACCATTTGCAAGATGGAATGCCCCATTTTGAAATTCACAAAGAGTACGGAGGAAGTTTAAAAGGTAAATTTTTGATTCTGAAATTTGAGTTTATTTTTCAAGCATATCTTTTATCATGTTAGCTATAGACAATCTTCCAACATATTCTCTTGTATTCTACTTCCATCAGATGGCTTTTTCTGTTACGTATATGTTGAACTGGTTTTTTCGACTCTGTTACCAATTACATCTTTTTCTGTTACTCCAGGAATTTTGTGCTTATTCAACTATGACTTCCTGAAGATAAGGGAAAATCGTGCATGATGAAGCCTTATCCCACGGTTGAAAAACTTGCAATTCCCGTTCTGTATAGCGAGTTAGCTTCCTGTTGGGATATGTTTCAGATATGATCCCTTTCTCTAGTTTGGCTCTCAAGCAGATGTGGTTGTGCTTTGTAGTCAATCATCCAGCCAACGCCATGGCTGTTCTGACAACATCTTTCTTAGATAAATACAATTGTGATTTTACACATCATGTGTTCATTTTGTTGCAAGCAGAAGCAATATGTAGTGATGTGTAATTCTAAGCATGTTTACGTGTTCATTTCGAGGCAACCTATGGTTGATTTTTATCTTTCACGCTGATCTTGCACAGGTCTCCATGCAGTAGCGGATTTAGACATTGTGGGTTCCAAGTACATCTAATTCAACCTATACTTGTTATTTGCACATATATTGGGTGAGAGCTGTTACCCAAAATTTTTAATACTACTGAACCCCGGAACCTGCATTTGGATCTGTCACTATACTGAGACTCACTTTGTAATGAAGGTTGTCCTTGATTGGTTGCTGCATAAAAGTTGAAATATACATTCTTCTTTGAGGAGCATGTGCTTGTTTACTGAGATTCTTGCCATGCCTAAGCTTGCTATTCATCAATTCTTATCGGGAAGGTTCTAAACTCATGATGCTGTAACGAGAGGTGAAATATTATTGCTGCAGAAACTGTATTTGGCAAGTCCAGAAAACAAAAACTCTGTCCTCTCTTGGAAAAACAGCACTGCATCAGAAAATGGATCTCTTCTCAACATTATGAAGATGACATTTTCTGTAGCTGTTCAATACATTTTGTAATGTTTATGACTTAAAAGTCACAATGTCACTCAGTATATTTCTATAAAGCTGTTGGTCCCTGTCTGATAAAAAATCATCAGCAACTACGCCTCAATCCTAATTATGGTGGTATCAGACAAAAGTTTGCGTTAAGGGGCAATATGATCTGAGATTTAAAAGTTTTACTGCGATTTTGGTTTCCACTTCTCATTACAACAATAACATCTAGCCGCAATCTCAAGAAAGTTGAGGTTCATTATATAAATTATGGACATTATCGCGCCATTTAAGTAACAACCCTGTATTGTTACGTCAAGGTCTCTTAGCTTATTCCAACAAAAGTCATACTATAACAACAACAAAAAATTAAGTGTATTCTCACAAGTGAGTCTAAAGAGGGTAGTGTGTAGCAGATCTTATTCCTATCCCGAGCAGTTAGAGAGATTGTTTTCGATAGACCCTTGGCTCAAGACAAGGAGAAAAAAGAATCAGTGGCAACCGATAGTAATAACATCAAGATAGCGAGAAAGACGAAATAATAACATCAAGATAGCAAGAAATACGAAGCGAAAGTAACTATAGGTATATAAACTGAAAATTCACGGCTTTTACTAATCTTCTACCCTAATTCTTGACCTCTACACCCTCCTATTAAGGGTCATATTCTCGGTAAGCTGAAGCACTGCCATATCTTGCCTAGTTATCATTCCCCAATACTGTTTCGACTTACCTCTACCACTTCTCAGACCCACTAAGGCCAGCATCTCATGTCTCCTTATTGGAGAATCGGTCTCTCCTATTCATATGCCCGAACCATCCGCATCCGAACCATCCGCATCTTGTCATAGAACACCGGATGCGAACCTCTATTTTATCCATCCCCTCCAATACTATAAATTATTCCTATATTGCTAAAACTAGCAGTCTAATATAGTACTCCTTATGTTCCTTTTTATAACATAACAGTTTTTAATGTAGTACTTTTTATAATTTTTTAACTCTAAATTTCTTATTACCCTAACCATAGAAATAATATCCAAAATTTAAGAATATTTTGGGCATATGCCAAGAGTTTTTCTTTTTCTTTTTAGATTTATGTGCAGTCAAATAACAACAATTAACATTACCTCATCAATNCACTAGTGCTATAGGAATTCTTATGGACTTGAGGGATTGCCTCATCCTCCCAAATCGGCTTGGGAGTTCCGTACTACCATAGATTTTCAAAAACTCAGCACCATTCCTAAGGGGTTCATGGGATTGGGGCACTCAAACACCATAAAACCATGAAGAACAACCATCCTTAATGAAGCATAAGCAACAAAGAAGAATAACCAATAATGAAGAACAACCACCACTCAACACATGTACCTAACTCGAAATTACCAAGAAAAGAGATAGAATCATACCTTTGAAGCTTTGTGAGGAGTAGATTGACTTAGAATTTCGGAGGAGTGTGAATGGCTAGCAAGATGAAGCTTGACCTCTGTGTGGATGGTGATTGTGTGTGGGTGAACAATCAATTTGTGCAATGTGTTTGTGTGCTTGTGAAATTTCTTGTAGAACTTGGTATTTCTTGATGGAAGTGAGGTTAGGGTTTGCTTGAAGAGTGTCTTAGTGAGTGAGGGCGTGTTTGTGATATTTGTGTCAACCAAAATAGGACGAAATAACTTAAAGAGGGCAAAAAAATACCTACCTGGCGTTAGCCAGCCTAAGGCCTGGCTAACCCTGGCGTTATCCAGGCGACGCCAGCCTAAGGCCTGGCTCAACCTGGTGTTATCCAGGCGACGCCAACGTAAGGCCTAGCTGACCCCTGGCTTTAGCCAGGCGACGCCAGCCTAAGGCCGGGCAGTCTCTGGCATTTTCCTGACTTCGCGTGATATTTAAACCTTGCTCGACTCGCCCAAACTCACATGCAAACTTGTTAGTATCTAAAAATAAAAAGAAAAATTCTAACTACACTAAAAATCAACTACGAATTGGGTTGCCTCCCAACAAGCGCCTTAGTTAACGTCGTGGCGCGACGAATACAACAGATCAATGGGTTGCCTCCCATGAAGCGCCTGATTTAACGTCGCGGCACGACGCAAATAAGCACATTTAAAGTACGCTTAACCTCGGAGGCTTGATCAAATGGGTCACTGACACTACCTTTGCTTCATCCATGCCCACATAATATTTTAATCTGTGCCCATTGACTCTGAACGTGTGAGAGTCATTACTCGCAGCAACCTCTACGGCACCCATGGGGTGAATTTCAACCACACGGAAAGGCCTTGACCATCGTGATTTTAATTTGCCCGGAAATAACCTTAGTCTTGAGTTGTATAGCAATACCGTATCTCCGGGTTTAAAATTCCGCTCAATAATATTTCTATCATGTATCATATTCATCCTCTCCTTGTATAATCTCGTGCTCTCAAAAGTGTGATATCTGAACTCATCAAGCTCGTGCAGCTCCGTTACTCTACTTGTTCCCGCAGCTTCAATATCAAGATTCAACTGTCTCAACGCCCACCAAGCTCTATGCTCCAACTCTATCGGTAAATGTCACGCCTTCCCAAACACCAACTTGTATGGAGACATGCCGATTGGAGTTTTAAAAGCGGTTCGATAAGCCCAAAGTGCATCATCTAACTTCCTCGCCCAATCTGTTCCGGTAGCATTCACAGTCTTAGTCAGCACACTCTTTATTTCTCTGTTCGAGACTTCCACTTGCCCGCTTGTTTGTGGATGATATGGGGTGGCCACCTTGTGGCGTACATCATACTTCTCCAACAACTTCGCGAAGGCTCGATTATAAAAGTGAGTGCCTCCGTCACTAGTTATTGCCCTTGGGGTGCAAAATTGGGTGAATATGTTCTTTCTCAAAAAACCAATTACCCCCTTTGCATCATTTGTAGGGAGTGCTGCAGCTTCCACCCATTTGGACACGTAGTCCACAGAGACGAGTATGCACTTGTTGCCATATGAGCTGACGAACGGCCCCATGAAATCGATCCCCCATACATCAACACTTCTACCTCCTGAATTGGGTTCATAGGCATCTCATGTCGGCGGGAAATATTCCCGTTTCGATGGCATTCATCACATCTTTTTATCCATAGATGTGCATCTTTGAACAATATTGGCTAGTAGAACTCCGACTCCAAGACTTTCACAGCTGTCCTTACTCCCCCGAAGTGCCCACCATATGGTGACGCATGATATGCCTGCAAAATAGAAGACTGGTCTATCTTAGGGATACATCTCCGGACCATGTTATCAACACAAATCCTGAACAGATAAGGCTCATCCCAATAATAAATGCGACAATCACGAAAAAACTTTTTGTTTTGAACAGAGGACATGTCATAAGGAACAATATCGCTCGCCAGGTAGTTTGCATTGTCTGCATACCGTGGCGTTTCCTCGAGACCCGTGGCTAGTAGTTGTTCATCTGGAAAAGTTTCCAGAATCTCTTCTACCTCAACCTTCTTTTCAGCTCTTTCCAGCCTAGACAAATGATCATCTACTTGGTTCTCCGTTCCCTTTCTGTCACAGATCTCCAAATCAAACTCTTGCAGCAGTAGCACCCATCGAATCAGGTGCGGTTTTTAATCGTTCTTCTCGATTAAGTACCTGAGAGCAGCATGATCAGTATACACAATTACCTTCAAACCTATCAGGTATGACCTGAACTTGTCAAATGCGAACACCACTGCTAGCATCTCCTTCTCGGTCACAGTGTAATTTGGCTAGGCTCTACTGAGTGTTCTACTTGCGTAGTATATTGGATGCATGATTTTATCTTTTCGCTTCCCAAGAACTACTCCCAAAGCATAGTCACTCGCATCACACATCAGCTCAAACGGTTGCTCCCAGTCGGGGGCAACTATGGTAGGTGTTGTTACCAATCTCTTCTTTAATTCGTCAAAAGCTACCCTGTAGTCATCAGAAAACACAAAAGGGTGATCTTTTTCAAGCAATTTACACAAGGGGTTAGCAATTTTGGAAAAATCTTTTATAAATCTCCTATAGAAACCAGCGTGCCCAAGGAAACTTCTGATTGGTTTGACGGAAGTGGGTGGTGGAAGCTTTTCTATCACATCAACCTTTGCACGATCCACCTCAATACCTTTACTTGACACTAGGTGCCCCAAGACTATACCTTCCTGTACCATGAAATGGCACTTTTCCCAGTTGAGTACCAGATTAGTCTTGATACACCTTTTCAAAACTCGTCTCAAGTTCACAAGGTAATCATCGAATGAATTCCCCACCACTGAGAAGTCATCCATGAAAACCTCTATTATCTCCTCTACCATATCTGTTAAGATGGCCATCATGCACCTTTGGAATGTGGCGGGTGCGTTTCATAGGCCAAACGGCATTCTCTGAAAAGCATATATACCATAAGGGTAGGTGAACGACATTTTCTCTCTATCCTCTGGGGAAATAGAAATCTGATTATACCCCGAGTACCCATCTAGAAAGCAAAAGTGAGACCTCCCTGCCAATCTATCTAGCATCTGATCAATGAATGGAAGTGGGAAATGGTCTGTCCTGGTAGCCAAGTTCAACTTCCTGTAATCTATACAGATTCGTCAACTTGTGACTATTCGTGTAGAGATCAATTCGTTCTTCTCATTTTTCACTACCGTCATGCCTCCCTTTTTTGGTATACACTGAACTGGGCTAACCCAGTTGCTGTTAGAGATGGGGAATATGATTCCCGCATCTTACCACTTGATCACTTCTTTCTTCACCACTTCTTTCATGTTGGGGTCCAGCCTTCTTTAATGTTCTCTGGAAGGTTTATGCCCATCTTCTAGTAAAATCTTATGCATACAGAAGGCCGGGCTGATCCCTTTTATGTCTGCAATGGTCTACCCAATTGCAGTCTTGCACTCAGTCATTACCTGCAAAAGCTGTTCTGCCTGCACATCTAACAAACTAGATGAGATAATAACAGGTAGAGTTGAGTTAGGTCCTAAGAATGCATACCTGAGATGAGATGGCAGTGGTTTTAGTTCCAACTTTGGTGGCTCTTCTATTGATGGCTTAGCTGGAGGAGTTTTTCTTTCCTCTAAGTGCAAGGGCTCAAATCGAGCTCCCTTCTCCAAAAACCTTGTCCTTCAAGAGCAAGTACCCATTCTGCTAAATCTTCACCATTAGCTTCATCTAAGTTCATGAGACAGGCTGCTAGAGGGTCTTTAATGTTTAATGCCTCATCTTCCTCCTCCAAAACTACATCCACCGCATCTATTAGAGAGCAATTAGCAAATTCACTTGGTCTCCGCATAGATTTCTGCACGTTGAATGTTATCTCTTCATCGTTTAATCTCATCTTAAGCTCTCCAGTTTCACAGTCAATTAAAGCTCTCCCAGTGGCCAAGAATGGTCTTCCCAAAATTATGAGAATTTCCTCATCAACCCGACAGTCAAGGATGACAAAATTTGCTGGGAACACAAACTTCCCAACCTGTACCAATATATCATCTAGAATCCTAGGGGGCCTCTTCACTGTTCGCTCAGCGAGCTGTAGTAACATAGACATGGGTCTAGCTCTTCCAATGCCTAGCCTTTTGTAGATAGCCAGGGGCATAAGGCTTATGCTTGCTCCCAGATCACATAGTGCCTTATCAAATGCAAAGTTGCCTATTGTGCAAGGGATTGTGAAACTCCCTGGGTCAGACAGCTTCTCAGCTATGGGTCTCGTCACAACAGCACTGCAGGTCTGAGTCAGTGTAACCGTGGCCAAGTCTTGAAAGTCGAACTTGCAGGACATCAAGTCCTTCATCATCTTCGCATAACCAGGCATCTCCTTTAAAGCATCAATCAATGGAATGTTTACCTGAATTTGCTTCAACATCTCCAAGAATTTCCTGTACTGCTCATCTTTCTAATACTTGGCCAATCTCTGTGGGAATGGTGCTGGAGGTCGCTTCTTCCCTGTAATTTGTATTTTTCTCTTGTTCAGGCACTGCTTCTACTGTCGGTTCCGGTGCAACCTCAGTCTCTTTCACAACCTCTTCTTCTTTGTTGGTGTTCTCTTGCGCATGCTGTACCGCCACCTCAGTTAACCATGCTGAATCATCTATCTCAATTGGTACTGGCACTAGTGTCTCAGCCGGTCTGCTTTCGCGAGCAATTTCTTGCTTTAGATCTAAGTCTCTACCATTTCGGAGACTCACTGCCATCAACTGCTTCGGGCCCTGCTCTTTTAGATTGATTTGGGTGTCTGCAGGTAACTTCCCGTGGGGACGATTATTTAGGGCCATAGAAATCTGTCCTAATTGGATCTCAATTTTCTTTATCGCTGATTCATGTGAGTCTACTCTGTCAGTTAGTTTTCCAGTGGACCCAATCACTTGTTGCATCATTCCCTCAAGTTTAGCGAACCCATCTTCGTGTCTCACAGTCTGTTGTTGTTGAGGTTGTTGATAAGCCTGCTGCTGATTTTGTCGGTTGTAACCCTGTTGCCTTTGGTAAGGTACCATTTGACCATGTGGTCGCATAGACCCAAGGTTCTTGTTGTTGTTGTACTGCTGCTGAGCCGGTCTATATTGTTGATTCTACTGACCCCAATTCTGACCACCTGGCCTCTGTCCCCCATAGTTGGCCACATAATTCATGTTCTCCTGATATTGTTGGTTATCACCTTCAGCACTCCAAGAGCAAACATATGGTTGATTAATGCATGATGTACATAAACCCCTATTAGTTGCATCAACTATGTGTACATGCTGCTTCCGGCCTGATTCATCAACCTTCTTGGTGAGGATGCTCATTTGTGTCAGTAGAGTGGCCATATTTTCAGCTATGGAGTTAGTCGGGTCTAAAGCCACTGAGTGAACCACAGGAGTGATTTGAGCGTTTCTTGTCGTCCATCCTATGTTTTGTGCCATCTTGTCAAGTAGGATCTTGCTTTCTCTGAATGTTTTGCTTAAAAATGCTCCACCTGCTGAAACATCAACATTGGCTTTCAAACTATCTGCCAAACCCATGTAAAATCTCTGTCCCAACATCTGCTCCAGAATACCATCATGTGCACACGTAACCAGCAGACCCTTGAATCATTCCCATATTTCTTGTAACGTCTTTTGGTTTCTGTCTGAAGCTCAATATGTCATCAATTTGCTGAGCAGTCTTGCTGGGTGGGTGAAATTTGTTCACAAATTGCTTGACTAATTCCTCCCAAGTAGTGATGGAGTTTATGGGGAGTGAATTAAGCCAAGTCTGAGCTGCTCCTGTCACTGATAATGGAAACAACAATAGACGTATTGCTTCCGGTGTCAGGTTATGTTGCCTCTGCGTGGCACAGATTGACAGGAAATTCTTCAGATGCTGCTGAGGATCTTCAACATATGACCCAGAGAACAGTCCCTTGTTTAGCAACAAATGTAGCATGTTATTTGTGATCTGGAATGAATCTGCTTGTATTTGAGGGACTACAATGGCAGTTGCTAAGTTGTCAGCGGTGGGTTGCGCCCAATCATACAGTGCTGCTTCTAGCACAAGAGGTACCACACCCTGATTGCTTGGGTCATTCTCGTTGTTTAGATGATCGTCTTCCATGTCTGGTTCGATTTGCTCTGATGAGTTTTGTTGTGGTTTGCCTTTCTTGTTTGCACGATTCAATGCCTTGAAAAACTTTCTCAGGATCCGATAATGCTTCTAACAACTCACCAGTTCTTGAGGAGTTTCTAGGCATGCACCTGTAACACCCAAGACTACAAACGTTAGAATTTCAATGAATAGTTTAAATTGAAGAAGATTGACTACAGTAAGAATATTTGCACTTCTTTTTAACTGCAATTAATAACACCGTTAATTCCCCGGCAATGGCGCTACTTCTTAACAAAATGAGAAAGTTACCTAAAGAATAAACTCTGCGCAGGTTTATTTTCACTGCGTACATCTTCTAGTATTGCCTGACTTAAAAAACTTTCCACGTTAACCTAATATAGTGCTCGTTTGGACATAAAATTTGATGGAAGATTTTTCCAAAAAAAAAAAAATCAATTTTTTTCGAAATCAGCGTTTGTTCATAAATTTCCAGTTTTCACTTGAAGATGCATTTTGGAAATTTTCGAAAATTTGAAAAACTGCAAAAAGCTGGTTTTCAAAATTTTCACTCAAATCACTCACAAAACTTCAAAAACAACCCAAATTGAAATTTATGTCCAAACACAACTCTAAATTTCAAATACTATTTTCACCATTTTTTCGAGTTTTACAATTCTTATGTCCAAACGCCTACATAAATATGCCAACAATTGCTGTTGTGTGTATGTGTTTGCATGTGTATCCGACTATTCATCTTTCATATCATGATTCCTTTTGCCTACATAGAGTTTGATTCTACATCACTTTGGTCAAAAGAGGACTTCAAAACGAAATGTTATGTTGTTAGTAAGCGTAAAAAGCATCTGCCTGAAAATGTTGGAAGAAAATCTCAGTAACATTTTTCTAAGCAGAAAATTAAATCTGCATATTTACCAAAGTTTGCATTCTCTAGATTCTAAGGAAACACACACGAGCACTTTTCTGATTATTCAACAAAAACGGACAAATATCAACCATCTAAGTCGAATAAGCAACAAGAGGAATTAAGAAAATGTACAAAGCAGAAGCACAATGTACCAATAAAATTCTCTGACCTTTTTGATTCAAAATCATGCAGAAGATCCTGTCTCCCTCCTTTTATACTGATTTTTAGTATAATAATCATTCGAGCTATCAACATCACTCGTGTACCACAGCCTAGCAAAGCTGACCTAATTCTCTTTGTACGTTCTATAAGTAGTATTATACTGTCCTTTAATTACCTTTGCAATTTTCGTGGGGTAACAAAGGCTAAGGAGAATTAGCTTCCAGGACTTTAGGACCCAACTTTGCATTTTTTATAAGAATCTGTTTTTTCCTATTTCAGTTTATGGGGGAGATATATTATGGAGAAAATGGAGGGAAGTCAATGGAGATCATATACCACTTTGAAAGTACTCATCATTTGGTTCCATTTGACATTAAAAATAACCAAGTAACTTGTTTGAGAAATCAAGAGTGTTAAGGCCTCTCAAGGAATTGGTTGGCTTCTGTTATTTCTGTAATTAAATATAACAATGACCACCTCTATATTCTGATGGATCACTGGCTTCAGTCAACTTCCTAGAGCTATTCTAAGCCATCCATTATTAGTAAATTAACAATCTTTTTTCATTTGTGGTAGGTATTATTTTAATGAAATCACATTGCAAGAAGGGAGGGTTCTTTTGTAGCTGATGCCTTAGGAAACCGAGGGGAGAAGACTGAAAGTACAAGAGGGGGGTGAATTGTTTATTTTTAAAGTTAATCGCTACCAGTTGACTAGTTTTCTAATTAGTCGACTAGATATAATGACATGATAACAGTAAGAGCAGAATTTAAGATGCAGAAATTAAATGCAGGAACTAAAGACACCGAAATTTTTATACTGGTTCGGATTCAATGTGAATCCTAGTCCAGTCCCCTTGGGTTGCAAGAGAGTTCTCTTTCATTGAATGAGTTTCTCGAGTACACAGTGAATGGTGTGATCTACACCGATAGCTCAATTCCTATATCACTCGTTTCTTTTTTATACAATGCCTCACCAGTGTTGTTCTCTCTTTCTTCTCTAACTTGTTACACAACAGGTCTAGTAGAGCTATAATGTTTGTTTACAGTAGAACAAAGAGAGGGCATTTGGTTCGATCAAAGTATATGTGCTAAGGTACAAATACAAGTTTAAATACTTTGAGAGAGGCTTGAATTCTGAAGAGATTTGCCAACCCAAGAGATTTGAATAATGTTATTCCGCAATGGCTCTAACTTGACGAGAGGCCTTAATGACTTCCCTTGTGCGCAATCCTTGAATCGTGATCCTTCCGGATTTAGATACTTGATTGATTATCTTGAAAGATCTTCGATATTCTTGATAATTTGATTCCTTCAGTTTACCCTTAATTGATTCAATCAGTGTCAACGATTCCTTTAGTCACGTCTTCTTTCCTTGACTGACTCTGATTGATTCCTTCAATCTTGTATGCCATCCATGAGTTCCTTGATCTTTGCTGATCGATTTCTTCAATCTTGAATGCTATCCACGAGTTCCTATACACAGAACAAATATGTTATTTCCATCATTAAAATCAGATCTAACAAAGACTAAACAAGAATCATATTTCAATGAAGCTATCTCGTTGCCAACAATAATTAAAGCTTTATTGATGAATGATCAAGATCAATAGTAAGTATTGTGATGTGAGTCTATAACAACAAACAATCGAATATGTTATGCCAAAGTTCCTCACATGCAATTTTTATACTTTATAATCGAAAGGATTATTTTGCTCTTTATTCCTTTTGCTTTGAGCTAATTAATAGAATCATCTCATAATTAGCATTTGAATTGTTCAAATGAGCGGCCTGCAGTTAGCTCTTTCACAAACAAAATTGAAAAAATAGACGAAACTATAATAGGATATTATCATGCTTCAGCCACTGTCGCCTCTCCAAACCCACCAACCCTTCCACAAACAAATAAAGACACACACACAACAACAACAACAAATTACTTCCTCCATT